GTTTGAGTCTTTGAGCCTAGTCTGTTAGAATTGCTTCAACTGAAAAGGGATACAATACTTTAGGAGTGGGAAATAGAGTCTGGAAATCAATACCATTGTTTGGGAATAGAGTCAGGAAAGTTTATTATTCTATTGCGGTGTTATTTATGGTGCATGGCAGCTCATTGTGGAAAGGCAACTATCCATCATAAAAATATAGTAGAAGGTGTTACAGACAATGAAAGAAGCATGGTGGAAAGTGTATTAAGAAAACTTCTGAATGTTTTAACAAAAAGAGAAATTACTAATGTCATATATGAAGAAAAATAAACTAGAAACATATTAAATTCACCATGAGCATCAGAGTTCTCATGCTTGAGGGGCAATATCACAAGTCTCATCATAATTCTTAAGTTCACTAGAAAGTGGAAACAATCAAGTTCAAGTAACTAGTTGAAGACAGTAAACATCACAAAGATAAATTAAAATTCTAATCCTCCTTTCTAGAGGGTGAGAAAGAAAAGGACAGAAAAGGTAAGGTGGGAGGGAAGACACTAAAAGGAAAAAAAAAACAGGGGAAGAGATCTATGCTCTTCCCTGAGACATGCTGGTGAATGCTGTGCGCTTGTTAGAATTGGCTAGAGGAGGACGTTCAATATGAAGTGCAGTTACATGACTGGAGTTCTTTTGTATTATGTGACTTGGGGGTTACTATTCTTTGAGAATTCAATTCCTGAAATTATAGTATTATTTCTAGGAATGTGAGTTTGCCTGAATTTAACACTATCCATATTATCAAACCATAATGATAGTAAAACAAAATTTGAAGGCCTTGTAATATATAAACATTTGTGTTTGAACTGAAGGCATTGTAAACCTTAGGTTATACTACAACAATTGTTTAACCTTTCTTTCTCAAAATTCCATTTTATCCTTACTTGGTGGGCTAGCTTTTGTTGTGCATACATTTTCCTGAATACTCATTCATGAACTTTAAGTTTGCTTTAATTTTGTCCTCATCAGATATTATACTGATTCAAACTGTTTTGCTTCCTTCTAGGAATACTACTTATTTTAATATATTTGTATATGATGTATATAATATCATCAAGCCTTGGTATGTTATTTTAATATATTTGTATGTGATGTATATAGGCTATCATCAAACCTCAGTATGTTGACCATATTCCAAAAGCTGTGCAAGGGAATGTGGGGCAGGTGCTGGACCAGAAAGATGAGAGAGATATGAAGCAGGAGCTTTGTGCTGATCTTGAGCTTAATCAAGTTATAGATCGTAATGTTGGTGATCTTTCAGGTGGCGAGCTCCAAAGGTTTGCCATTGCGGTTGTAGCCATCCAGAATGCTGAGATATACATGTTTGATGAACCTTCTAGTTATCTTGATGTGAAACAGAGGCTGAAAGCTGCCCAAGTTATTCGATCATTGCTCAGGCCTAATAGGTTTGTGACCTATTCTCTTAGTAATATCTGTTTAAAATCTTGTCTATATCATCTGTTCTTTGCCAAATTACTTCCCAAGATAAATAATGAATTTTTTGGTTTTTCTTTTTCCAGCTATGTAATTGTTGTAGAGCATGATCTTAGTGTCTTGGACTACTTATCAGACTTTATTTGCTGTCTATATGGAAAACCTGGTGCATATGGAGTGGTCACACTTCCCTTCTCAGTCAGAGAAGGAATAAACATTTTCTTGGCTGGATTTGTTCCAACAGAAAATCTTAGGTTCCGGGATGACTCACTTACCTTCAAGGTATATATAATCTTTGCATCTCCCTTCCTCTCACGTGCTGATCATAAACCCAATCTTGGTGATGAAAATGAAAAGATTCAGCATTGAAATTTAGCGGTGTTTGTTTCAGCATGCTAAAATTAATTGTGTAAAAAGCTGAAAATATTTAGCATATAGGTCACTGAATATATTCAGCAACAATTATTTTATGTAGTGTTGCATATTTATATTATTAGATTATTAGATGCTCATTCTTTCTGCACCTTAGTATGAAAGTATTATCAAACTTTACAAAATCAATGCTTAATTTTTTCGTTACTGTTAGTTTCAATACTGTATTTTAAAACCCATAAAATTTCAACCCTGCTCTCGTGTCTAGGTTGCTGAGACTCCACAGGAAAGTGCTGAGGAAGCTCAGACATATGCTCGATACAAATACCCAACCATGACCAAAACTCAAGGCAATTTTAAACTTCGTGTAGTTGAAGGAGAATTTACTGATTCTCAGATTGTTGTGATGCTGGGTGAGAATGGGACAGGAAAGACAACATTTATTCGTATGCTGGTATTCTTTTTGCCATACTTGTTTCTTAATGGAACCGAGTAATTCTTCAACATATCTATTCACCTTGCTCTGGTATTATTCAGGCTGGTTTATTGAAACCTGACTCTGTAGAAGGTGGATCTGATGCTGAGATGCCTGAATTTAATGTTTCATACAAGCCTCAGAAGATTAGCCCGAAGTTCCAATCAACTGTTAGGCATTTGCTACATCAAAAAATACGTGATGCGTATACTCATCCCCAGTTTGTGTCAGACGTGATGAAGCCACTTCTTATTGAACAGTTAATGGACCAAGAAGTTGTGAATCTTTCTGGTGGAGAGTTGCAAAGAGTTGCACTGTGTCTCTGTCTTGGAAAGGTATTATAAACTTTGTCAGTGAGAAGTGCTTAAGATTATTTATGCACCTTAATTCTTCTGTCTCTGCACCTTTTTTCTTTTCTCTTTACATTTTTGAATACTTCCATAGTTTTCTATAGGCTGTGATGTCAGGTGTGTTGTCATTCCACATAATGAAAATGAGTTTGGTGCGAATCCTTTGTCCCAAGATTTTGGGAACTACTTGGATTTGTTGTATGCTTCTTGCATCATAAACGTAGATGGCAATAACATTTCCTTGTGCATTACTGTTCAACTATAGTAGCCACCAGACATCTATCTATGCTAATTCTGTGGCAAGATTTTTGGAACTGTATTTCTTGGTTTTATTGTATGCTGTTCCATGTCCCTTAAAATGCATGCCTCTGTTTATTTCAAACTAAATAACATCCCAAGTTTCCTGATCTGTTGCTATCCTACCATAACAGCCTGCAGACATCTATCTGATAGATGAGCCAAGTGCATATCTAGATTCTGAACAGCGAATTCATGCTGCCAAAGTCATTAAGAGATTTATTCTTCATGCAAAGAAAACAGCTTTTGTTGTTGAGCATGATTTCATCATGGCAACATATCTTGCGGACAGAGTTATTGTTTATGAAGGTCAACCATCAATTGATTGTATTGCTAATGCTCCACAATCATTGTTGACTGGGATGAACCTTTTCTTATCTGTAAGTTTCGTTACCTTTTAATGGTTTCATTATTTTTCTTCAAGTTGTATTGTGCTTTGTGCTTGTACGTGTGTGATATATCCAATGTATTTCATCATTGCTGCAGCATCTTGATATCACATTTAGAAGGGACCCGACTAACTTCCGCCCAAGGATAAACAAACTCGATTCAACTAAGGATAGAGAACAAAAGTCTGCTGGGTCTTATTACTACCTTGATGACTGAGTTCATACTTAGGGGCTGGTGCGTCCTCATGCATTTGTTCTTCCTCTTATAATGTTTGGGTGGCAAATGGAAACTGACTATGTTTTTTCTATCGTTTCAGTTCATTCTCCAACGCAACAATGCATCTGTTTGAGCTTTTAATGGGATCTCAAATTTAGTTCATTTGATGCCTTGAAATGTTAGATTGCCATTTTTCCTGTTGAAGGCATCTTTCTCAATGAATAGAAGACCAGAAAAAAAAAAAAGAGCCTGCATGCAGGACAAATGTTGGTTGGTGCATTTGTATATTTTCCCTAATATCTAGTGCAGTTACTCACCACCAGTTTTGCTGCGACTTGGGTGGGTGAATCTGAATATTACCTGAGTTTATATTGACATGGTTTTCATTACATGTCCCGAATCGAGAGGAACATTCATGATGTCAGATCGGGTTTATCGTCATTTTGGCTCATAATTTCAGTTGAATATTCAGCGAAGTTTATGTTCATTTACATGTTACTTGGTTTAGATGGATGTCTCCTGTTTGGAATATATTGCCGTTGAGAGGGTTGATACATTGGTGGATAATATCATTCATATATGAAATTGCGGTTGGTTGTGACTATTTGAGGCGTTATTTTTTACCTTCTCAATGTCATCAAATATATTACAAAAAGGGTTTTACTCAGAAAAAATGGAGATTATTATTGGTAATGATTCAACCGTTTGGCTACATAAATAGAAGGTATAATAATGTTTAAAAGTAATATCGTAATAGACGTATTTTATTTATTTATTTATTACGGGTAATACATGAGTACGCTAGATGCATTTAAAGTTAAAAAGATTAACAATTTTTTTGGCGGTTCTCACTGCAATAATATTTAAGTATCGATTCATACTATTAATCTGTCTTTTTTTTTTTTATTTTTTTTTTTTATAAAAAAAAAAAATAAATCCGCATATATACTGCGTTTTTTATTAATAAAAAACGCAGTATATATGCGGATTTATTTTTTTTTTTTATAAAAAAAAAAAATAAATCCGCATATATACTGCGTTTTTTATTAATAAAAAACGCAGTATATATGCGGATTTATTTTTTTTTTTTATAAAAAAAAAAAATAAATCCGCATATATACTGCGTTTTTTATTAATAAAAAACGCAGTATATATGCGGATTTATTTTTTTTTTTTATAAAAAAAAAAAATAAATCCGCATATATACTGCGTTTTTTATTAATAAAAAACGCAGTATATATGCGGATTTATTTTTTTTTTTTATAAAAAAAAAAAATAAATCCGCATATATACTGCGTTTTTTATTAATAAAAAACGCAGTATATATGCGGATTTATTTTTTTTTTTTATAAAAAAAAAAAATAAATCCGCATATATACTGCGTTTTTTATTAATAAAAAACGCAGTATATATGCGGATTTATTTTTTTTTTTTAATTTTTTTTATTGACTGATTTATTCCTGTATGGTAAATGACGCGTAGCTTGTCTTGTCAGACGGACAATCTTAATCGGAGATAAAAAATTTTCATGCGATGTATCATTGTAATTATTCTACGCTATATTAATTTAATGTCTTCATTAAGAATAGTACTTGCATACAATTTTTTAAGTGCTTTTAGTTCTATTTTTCAACTGAAATTGATATTTTACCCAAGTAACACGCACAAGGTTGGTCTTTTAAGCTTCACGGTAAGCATAAGTAATAAAAGCTTCTAAAGAACATTATCTAATTTTTGTTCATGAATGTGGTAGTTTAATTTTGGTTGCTAGCACTCATGCTAGTAGTGCTCTCTCTCTCTTTTATTTAATATTATTTTTTTTTATCAAAAACCAACATCAATAAGACTATATCCTGCGTTTTTTCTTAATCCCAAGTCCTCGATATATTGTCTTAAGTCAGTTGCATCTTTCCAGCTTCCTGCAGCAACATACATATTTGACAAAGATATGTAATATCCAACATTTTGAGGTTCCAGTTGAAAGAGACGTTGAGCAATTTGTCTCCCCAACTTGAGTTCTCCATGATAGTTGCAAGCACTTAGGAGAGTTCCCCATACACCTGATCTGTCACACCCCTTTGCAAACTCGTAAGCCTCATCCAGTCTACCTGATCTACCTAGCATGTCAACCACATAAACTTGATGCTCAGTCTCAGGTTGCACTCCATATTTCTCTAACATACACTCATAGTAACAAAGACCTTGGCTCACAAGTCCTGAATGGCTGCATGCAGATAAAAGGCTAACAAAAGTGCTTTTGCTCACCCTTGCTCCTGACTTGCACATTTCATGGAAGATTTTGATTGCTTTCTCACCATTTCCATGATATCCACATGCAGAGATCATTGAATTCCAACCTGATTCTGACTTTTCCTCTGAATGTCTGAATACTTGGAGGGCAGTGTCCAATCTTCCACAGTTGCTATACAAATCTATAAGAGCTGCTGATATGAAAGAATCATCTTGAATGCCAGCCCTGAACACGCGGGCATGAACTTGTTTTCCGAGTCTTAGGACGCTGATTTGAGTGCAAGCTGAGAGAACACAAACAATGGTGATCTCATTCGGTTCAAACCGAAGATGGCGAAATAGTTCCAGTGCTTCTCTACTTTCTCTATTATGAGATAAAGCTGAGATCATACAATTCCATGAGCATAGATTAGGACTAGAGCAGAATTTAAACACTAATCTAGCACTGTTGATGTCCCTGCATCTGTCGTACATGGTAATTAGCGAGTTCTGAACCCGAGTATCTGATTCCAAAGGAGACTTAAGTGCAAGGCCATGGAGAGACTTTCCTAGGTTGAATAGTTCCAGGTTTGCACAGGCAGACACGACACTTACAAGGGTTATGGAGTCAAAGTTGAAAGGAGGTTCATGTCTCATCAACTTGAAAGTCTCTAGAGCCTCTCTAAAACGGTCACATCTTACACACCCTACAATTAGTGTGTTCCATGAAGCTATATCTGCTAAAGCAGAATTCTCATGCAAAATTGAGAAACTGGCTGCCAAGTCTCCACAATTGATATACATGTGCATGAGAAAATTTATTAAAAGAATGTGGTTCAAAAACCCAGATTTCAACTGCCAGCAGTGAACTGATTTTCCAAAGTGGAGACTATAAAGGGAGTTGCAAGAAGCAAGAATAGCATAAACGGTTGCTGAGCTGCAATTTGGGCCCCAACGTAGCATCTCTCTGAACAAATTTTGAGCTTTATTAGAATACATGTTGAGAGAATAGCCAGATATCATTGCATTCCATGAGACTGAGTCTTTCTCAACAGAGGAATTGAACAAGAGCTCGGCTTTCTCCACAAGGTTGCACTTTGAATACATGTCTATCAGGCTGTTCAGTAACATAACATGACCGGATACCATCTGTCTTTGAATTGCAAATCCATGGATAGCTCTTCCTTCTCTAGAGAGCATCAGTTCTGCACAAAGCGGAAGTATGATAGTTAATGTCACTATATCAGGTTGGAAAGACCCTACTATTTGCATTTCAACCAGAAGATCAAACACTTCATTAATCTTTCCATTTGAAGCAAATCCTTCCATCATTGCATTCCAGGAAACAATATCTTTAAGTGCTATTTCTCTGTACACTCGTTCAGCAGCCTTGATGTCTTCACATTGTGAATATAATGAAATGAGGGAATTAGCAACTGAAACATGTGAGCTGTCCTTGTATCCTAGCTTGATTCCCAGCCCATGAATGGACTGGCCTAAAGCCAGCTCTCCCAAACTCGAAGATGCAGAAATAGCACAAGATAGACTGACATTGTCTGCTGTTTCTTCTGAAAAAGCCATCCTTTTGAAGTAATACAACGCTTTCTCTGGATCATTATTGTAAAGACTACCTCTCATTATTGAATTCCATGAAACGACATCTTTACCTTCCATCTCTTCATATAGACACTCTGAAGAGTTTAGATCACCGCACTTAGCATACATGTCAATAAGAGCATTACCTAAATTGATATCCACAAGCCTCCCAGATTTTACACTCACACAATGAATTGCCCTTCCTTGATGAAAGCTTTTGATGTGTAACGAAGCTGATACCATAAGCATCAGAGTAGTGGAATCAAATCCAGTTTGCGCCTTTATCATTTTCTCTAAGAAGTCCATTGCTGTTCTATAGCAGTTATTTGTAAGACATGCTGCAACAATAGCATTCCAAGCAATCACATCTCTACTGTGAACTTCATCAAACAAATCCTTTGAAGAGGTAAAGTCTCCAGCCTTGGAATAAACAGTGAGTAGAGATGTTGAAGTTGGGAGATGAGCTAGAGCACCAATCTTTAAAGCTGCACAATGGGCAACAGTTGCAGTCACAATTTTGGGTCTTTTGAGGCACGATTTGATGTAATCAACAAGCTCAAAATGAATATCTCTCAATTGTAGAGGTCTTTGTGGCATTTCCTCAAACATCTGAATGGCGCTGCAAAAACGATGGCAACATGATAACAAGGCAGGTGCATGTGGATCAATTGGAACCCTTTGTCGCCTAGCAATACTGAAGTTCCAACTTTGGTAGTTATGTGAAGAAATTGAATGGGAGGATGGTGATATTCTTGGTCCTAGAAAGGGTAAATTTTCATTGGCCAAACTTGTTACGTGCTTCAGCGGCAATCGGAAAACTACCCATGTTCTCATTTTCACTTCATTCTTGATTGTAGCTATGAAAAATCCCGTCTTGCACTGAAGAAAATGAATTTGATAAAATTTCAATGGCTATGCATAGCAATTGAGTAGCTCCCACTTAATATAACCTTCTCTTACTCGTAGAAAAGGTTTTAGCAGTGTTTTAATGTTGCAAAACTTTGATGTTCCGCACTAATTAATGTCGTTGTCTTGGGCTAGCCACACGACACTAGGGATGAAACTAGTTCAACTAACAACGGTTCTTAAAAGTGTGATGCAAGCAACTATGCATAAATATTTAATAAGGTGCATCAAATACTTCAGTTTTCACCTTAGCCAATGTATTTGAGAAAAAAATGCTACTTGAAATTTTGTTTTTAATAAAATATTTTTTATTAGGGAGTTTGAGGATTTTTATTCCCAGCAGCTGAAGCTTATTAGATGACCAAAATTAGAAAAATCAACATCTTCTTTCCAGTTTGAAAGTGGTACATTCAGATGTCTCCTGTTTTTTCAATTACAAGCAATTCAATATCAACTGAGACATCAGCGTTCAAAAACTGCATCCTTATCTAAGAAAATGTAAGTCTCAATTTCTCCAATTTACAATGTTACACATAGCATGTTCTTCCCATTGTTACACAATAACAACATTGTCTCATCTCTCTAACAACTAACATTCTCGACGTGGATACAGATTCTAAACTTCTGTAAGTATACCTCTTGGTTTTGGCATGATTTGGAAACCAAACCAACTATAATTAAATCTCTTCCGTGTATCTAGTCTATTGTTCATAGTGTTTTACCAAACATGAACCTGAAGTTGACCTCACCAAGGTGGATGATCATCTTCGGAAGTTTGAGGAGGAATTGGCTTCCATTCATGTTTCTCATCCCAGTACATATCGTAATAAATGTGACCAGGAGTGTGATCCAGCACGCAGCACCATATACCCACGTACCGTTTAACGCGTTTTCTGAATCTATCTTCCCTTTCCTGATAAAAATAATGCATGGCTTAGGACATAGTAAATGTTAATTTCTAAAGAAATGAGTATAGTAGTCCTTGCCTTGTCGGTGAAACTTGTGAAAGCATCTTGCATTGAAGAGAACTGAATGACTTTCATATCCTTGAATGATGAAAATACTTTCATGTACTGCATGTTCAAGTATATAAACAACCAGGTTCAACATATTTTAAATAGGATAGGACAGTGAATAGACTTGGTAAAACCAAAAAAGATCGGCACACAAAAGATAATCATATCAATGTACTTAATATGGTTTCTTTAGAAGACCTTAAAGTCTATATCTGAAATAATCATTAAATGGATCAAATTTTAAATACCGTTTCTTCATTGCTATGCCTCGGAAATTTGAGTACTCCCCCAACTGTGCTATTATTTGATGCAAAACAATCCTGGGTTCCTTCCTTACAGAGCTGAACATCAAGCCATGACTTCTTCACCTGAACTCAATACCCCAGCCATAAGTTTCGGGAGTGAGATACAAGGAGAATTTATGGTTTAAAATGTAGATGAAAATGACATTTATTCACCTCTGAGGGGAGGGAGGGATTATCAAGTATTGAGTACTCTCTAATATCTATTCCAGGGCCAAACTCCTCCTCTGGGAGTTCTTTCAACATGACATTTACCTGCAATAGAGTACATTTCCGTAGCAGAGCATAAGAAAGTGCCAGAAAATGTTTTGATTATGTAAACAGGGGAGAGGCAGAGAGGAAGAAAAGATATGGAAGAGGTTACATTAAATGTTGTAAACTAATGTGTACATGGAATTAAAAAGGGTTATATTCTGCAGTACTAAGTTGCAAGGATCTTCTCTCAGTATCCTACTTACATGTCTTTCATGATGTTTGTAAGAAATACTATATCTAATTCATGAAAACAGGTGGGATCAGCATTAGAGAAAGCCCAAAATTTTAAAACCATACAAAAAAAAAATCAATTAATTAAATAAAATAGAGAATAGAATTTCCTTATTTGATTTTATTTATATCATCGAAGGGACAGCGTGTTTGAAATCAAACACCAAAAATAATTATACAGGCTTTTCTTAAAAACAATCATGTAGATTATGGACTAGAAGTGGTGAACAATAGTGTAAATGAAATTATAAGGGCATATTTGATCGCAGTCTCAGCAATTGTTTGGGAGGGGTAGCAACTTAGTTTGAGAGATATGTGTACTTTTTACTCAGTGAAAACTGCTTATTATAGAGTAATATTTTAGTGTCTGACCATTCTCTGGAAGCAGCTTCTCAAATTTAATTGTGATTTTTGAGGACTGCTGTTTGAAGCATGTTGCCATATTTTTTTTAAACACCAAATATTACAATTAATTTTTTCCAAAATTATGAAATAAAATACCATTTAAATGTTTCTTTGTCGTAACTTCTATCATTGACTTGTATATTTTCCCCATGTTTGCCCGATATTTCTTTCATTACTCCCGCTACATTTATAACAAAAACCTTTTATTTACATCTATATGAACTTAGTTTTTCTCTTATCATCCCACAAATTGAAATCCAAAAGTTGAACATGCAATTTGATTAGAGGGAAAG